GAAGAGCATACACTCCCCGTGGGTGTGAGACCCATTGAGGATCTCGGAGAGTCTTGGTGCGAACTGCAACCTTCGCTGTCCCTTCCAATTCCTTAATCAGTTGTGGTCCAGCAAGGTATCTCTTCTTGTGCTCAAACGTCATCAAGTACTGAACTGCCTCCTCCTTGTACAACAGAAGGAGCTCTGGTGTACCGTCATACTTTGGCACCATCTCCGGTCCTTTGGATGGACCTCTCCGCCCTCTCCGCCATCTGCCACAGGGGCTCCAGCGGTCCGACAACCTTCAAAAACCAAACCAGGCTCCGGCCACCATGCAAAATAGCTTAAGGCGGCCTTTCGTTCACTAACCTACGGGGAGTTCTGAGCACTAAATACGTGGATGGGCGCCATGTCAATTGCATAATGTATATATATATATAAATAAATATATATATATATATGTGCGTGTGTGTGTTCAGGACACCGTGCACTAGATCACAGTGTTCACTGCACTTTATGGATGGAGGGTGATTGGGAATTGGAATTATCATCCCCTTAAAGGAGATCATAATCCCCAACAGGAGCAAGGACGCTACTACGGGCTCCTGGCCTTACTACTAGGAACAAGAAGCTACTAGGAGCAAAGGGCATCGCTACTAGGAGCAAGGGCGCTACTAGTTAAGTTTCCCAAAAAATGTAGGAACCAAATCATTAGTGCGAACGCTTCTTGAAGGAAGCTTACCCCGCCACCCTCGGGGAGCTTCCTTGAAGAAGCACGAGCTATCCTGCGTCCAGTTCCTAGTAGCTTAAGTAAGCTACTAGCAGCCTACCCCCCCACGCTTTAAGAACAAACAAAAGAAAGACATCCCCAACAACCGTTCCCAGTCTCCAGGAGATTGTCCGGGCCATCAGCCCAGCTTTCGGTGTGGTAGCCTCCAAGGCTCGCAACCCACGGCCGGGGAAGGGGTCGAAGTCCGATCTTAGAAGTAGAAGTGGGCGTGGATGACATGAGACCGTAGACCATCTCGATGATTTTTGTTTTTGTTTGTGTTTCGTCGCCTTCGACGGAGGTCTTGATTTCTATGGCCTTCCTGGGTGGCTCATTGTGCGCAGCCTTCGTGGTGGCCCTGGCGGCCACTTGGGCGCTTTGTGAGGCCGCCAGCCTGGAGGACGCCTACGCGTTGGAGCAATCGCCTACAGATGCGCCCTTTTTCTACGGTAGCTTTCTAAGCGCTTCCTGGATTGCAGAACACATCAGAACACAAATGGATAAAGAAATACTCCAGTGCTGTGAGCACTGGTGTGCATGTAGGAGAATGGGAATTTCTCGAGACACGTGGAGATTTCCGGGCAGGTGGAGTTTTAAAGCAGACACAGCGGGTGCAGGGGGGCGTCGTATCAAGTTTTATGTATAAAACTGCCGTCATCCCGCATTGACACTTCATGAGCTAGATTGTTCTCAAGATCATGTTTTTCACTTGAAATTGCTGTTTGCCGGCAAATATTGTTCTATCACATTTTTGCCAGCTTGATCCTGAAACTCAGCTCAGGTAGTTGTACTTGGGGCATTGGTCCTTTTGTCTGGCGTGAACACCGTTCGGCTGAATGCTCCTCGCTTTGCTTAGCATGCAGCTTCAATCCTTCCAACAGCCCTGGGGCACTTTTGAACATGAACCGAAGAATCAAGCATGCATTAGGTTGGTATATATGTAATTTCATGTACGGTAATTTCACGCATGACATGACCTCCCAAACATTCCCAAACTATGACACTACACGTCACCGCCAAATGCATGCACTACTGCACATGTCATGAAAGAATCTCGCGGGAAGGTTTGGGTGGAGCTGCTCGACGGTATACTGATGCCTGTAGCTGTGGGCTTTCTCTACTTGCTTGCCATCAGTGAGGTGGTCCCCGAGCCAGTGCGAGTGATTTGCCAGACAGTACTGGTGTTGATGTGTTGGTTTGATCCAAGCTAATTACCAAATTCGGGAGACATTGTATTTCATGAATATGCAGTGGACTTCCTCCAGTGGGTTTCTCAGAATTGGTTTGTTTGTGCGTTTTAGCCCTCCCCCATCCCCACCCCACGAAAGAGAGCGTTCAAAGTGACCCTGTCCGTTGGCTTTTGCCTTCGAGGTGAAAGGAGCCTACAAATGGGTCACAGGATGTGTTTTTACCATCGCGGCTTGGGAGTTTAAGCATTTGCCGTGTGTTGCCATGTTATCGGAGGCACGGCCGTGTCAAAGTGCCGGGCACCAAAATGTTGAATTTGGAGATGTGCACGCCCACACGATCACAGCAGCCTTTCAAATATGTTCCTGTGCGCGTTGCATGGCAGAAGGTGACAACGGCTAGAGGAAGAAAGCAGACAAAGAAAGAGTCAAATCTCAGAGCAAAGGAGATCAAAAGAGATAAGAACCAGAAGAGAAGAGAAGGAAGAAAGCAAGCAAGAAACCAAGGAACCCAGGTATGCGGAGCGAAGCAGAGAAAGAGTCGACGGTCCCTTTTTGGCTGATTTTTGGGTCCCTGGTCAGTTTGAGGTTGCCGCTATATCCATCACAACTGCCGGCGGTGGCTTCATCAGCGAGCACTTGAAGGACACGCAGATCATCGGCTAGCTGCCCAGCTGGAATCTGGCAGGGTGTGGGCAGGGTTATTCCCTGCGGCCGAAGCTTCTTGAAGGCCTGGGGATGGAATGACACATTTACATTTTACATCATTTGGCTATATTTTTTAAAGTTCCGTTCAATTGTTCAGCCAAGGTTTGGAATACTGATTTCATGGACGCTACCCTTGCCCTGAAGCATTCAATCGTTCGCTCACCCGACCAGATGCTGTTAAAAGAGCTTGAGTGCGCGGTTAGAGCGTGCTTCACTAACTTCACTGTCACGCCAACTAGTGCTGCTGTACAATTTCCCAGCGGCTTCTGAGGCCACACTGATATCCATAAACATTGATGCCTTCAGCGTCTTCTGCCTCAGCATAACCCATGTAATGTAGCCAGTGTCTAGCCATTGCGGCCTTTCCTATGACTTGAGCCATTGCCACAGTCAGCCTGCTCGTCTCAGATGCATTTGACTGTAAATTCAGTAGTAACAAGTGCAGCGCTACTACCAACAAGGGCATTACTACTACACCAACAAGAAGCTACTAGTAGCAAGGCGAGACTCATGGTGATTGAGGTATCCACGGTGGCGTTGGAGCAAATAAACGCCAGGGTCTTGAGACCGCTAGCACAGTAGGCGCATATGGAGTCATTTGCACCGCACCGAGTTTGAGGGCCATTGGAAGATCTTACACTAGAGCTTCTTGTTACTAGTAATGCACTTGTTACTAGTAGCGATGCACCTTGTTACTAGTACTGTAGCTTTTCTTTTGCATTGATTAAGCTTGTTCAGTTTGTTTGTCAACGAATGTGTTTGGCCGCATGCACTGGCGCAAAGACCTGCAGCGAGGAGGGCTACACAGTGCGTATGGCTTTTGGGATGGGTGCGCACGTGACAAGGCGCTGGACCTGGATGAGTTGATGAAACTGGCAAACCTGACCCTTCCAACGGCCGGGGGGCCTGCCGAAAGCTTGAAAGTGTGAGCACCTCGTGGGCTAGCTGCCAAAAGGGGCGCAACAAGACACAGTGCCAATATTCGCCAGGGCCTCAAGCGAGAACTTTTTGTGGTCGAGTTGAAGCTTTCCTTCAGGCAGCATCAATCCTGTCCACGGTGGTGGCCATGGAGGAACTTGAAGAGAGGGAATGTGGGGAAGTTCATGGTTTAGGATTAGTTCCCTTATCAATCAGTATTAATGTGAGACATTATTGAAAAAGCTGCACAGTGTGTGATTGAGGTGTGAGGTTTCGCAAGGGAATCCAGAGTCAGACCTCCCCATTGATGCCTTCTTGTCAGAATGGGTATTTATTCAATGGCTAATGATGCTAATTATTGCAGTAAAATTCAATGTAGTTCAACACTTTGTGGGACAAAAGGGCGCAGCATGTACCCGCGGCAGTTCAGTGGGATTACTGTTCTGACGGTGAGACCACCGCGCACAGGCATTTTTTGTCCAAGAAGAAAAGGTGTGAGGTTTTTGTCGAGGGTTATGAGCCCAAGACCCTAGCGCGGTTCCGCGCGAGCGATGGCGACCGAACGGTCACACTCGGTGCCGGCGAGTGGCAATGCGGCCATCGTGAATCCATGGTGGTCGGAGCGGCTGCAAGCTGAGGCGCTGTTGCGCCACAAGCGACCCGAGGACTTGCCAGTCCCACAGGACGAAGACTTGGACCTGGAAGCGGTGCAGGATCAGAACACCGCTAGCGGCTTGGGAAAAGGTCGGGGTGCACTGACCTTGGGCGGACGGCTGTTCGTCACACCTCCGAGCCGCCGTGGTTCCGAGGGAAGAGGCCGAGGTGGGTTTGGAAAGACTGAGGGTCAAATGCCTGGGGAGTCCAGTGGGGAGCCTCCAAGCAGGCGAGACAAAACGATGGGACCAATCCCACCGCAGTATGCTCCTCCTCCGAAGCATGCACCGCCCCCAAAGCCGGATGTAGATGATTCGTGTGGGCTGCAGCGTGCGATGGAAGCGGAAATGGTGATCTTCCTGAGGGAGGAGAATGAAAAGCTTCAAGAGGAAGTCTCCCGACTTAGGCAGCAGCAAGCCGCCAATCGTTCGGGCCCGGTTTCGACACCTTCATCATGGGAGACGGTTGATGGAGGAGTGGGCACTGGGGTTAGGGAGAGTGGTCTACATGATGGAGGTCCTCACGTACATGTTCGTGGTGCAGCCCCCCAAGGTAATGGTCTGTATAGTGATGGTGACCCTATGGTGAGCACTCCAAGAGGAAGGAGTCCGACCACTCGAAGGCTCCAAGTCTCTCAGCAGATGCGGTTCACACCAAATGGAACTCAGATTTCTAACGGGCCACCGCCTTTGGACTTGGATGCACCTCCAATGCCACCTTTTCCCACAAGTGTCTCAGCTGAAATTAGTGGTGACTCGGCTGAAATTCAGATGCAGCACTATGAGCTCTTCGATGCTAAGCGGCGAGGTGACTCGCAGTGGGTTCCGCTCTGCATGCGGGAGGGCAAATCCTATGCGCCGATCACCGCGGAGGACAAGACCGAGCGCCTGGAGCGAGAAGTAAGCGAGCTCAAAGCTGCTTTGACTCAGATGCGCGGCAACTCGGCGGGATCTAGTGAGGCGGTTCCGCCTCCATCAGTGACTTGTGCCTCGCAACCTCAAAGTTTTGGGTGGGCCCCTACGCGTGGATCTGGTGTTGGTCTGGGACGTGATGGTGTCTCCCCAAATGATGGTTGGGCTTCCGTTCAAAAGGAAAGGTCTTCTAGTGTGGGACCTCGTGAAGGAGGCGACATGCCTTATGGTCGATGGCACCAAGCTCACGGGCAGCCAGCCATGCCGCTGCCTTGGAGTGAAGGCACTGGCAACAGCAAGGCCGAGCTTGTCGAGTTGGCCTCTGACGCTTCACCCATTGAATTGGGGGACTGGTTGGCTGTTTGTGGCCCAGTGATGAGGGATCTTTCTTCGGTCAGCGCTCGCTGGTGGAATCTCACTTTGAGGGAGGCTCAGTGCTTCTACGACCGGTGGAAGACATCATCTCCGCTGGAGCGTGTCCAGATTGTGGCCCGACTTCCTGATGAGTTGTTGGATGGCTGCTATCAACGCACGGAGCAAAGAGGAGTGAATCTGTTGCTGAGGGCGATCCCTGCAGACCAGCAGCAAGCGCTCATCACGGCCAGAGAGTTGAACTCCACGGCCCTGTTGTTCAGGCTTCTCATCCGCTATCAACCAGGCGGTGCAGGGAGAAAGCCATTTTGCTGTCCAAGTTGACCACCCTGGACAAGATCACTGGAGCTTCGGATCTTGCAGCAGCTCTACGCTCATGGCGTCGTCATTACGCCCGGGCTCAAGAGGTTGACGCGGTGCTGCCGGATGGCACTTTGTTGTTGAAGGCCCTTGAGCCTGCTTGTGTGTTGGTGGCTTCGCTGGATGCTCAAGCTTCCTTTCGGTTGGCGCAGAGCCGGTTGCAGTTGGCCGTGGATCAACAGCCTATTCACCAGAGTGTTTGGAGGTTCAGTCAATGCTTGCTGGCGGAAGCCGAGACCCTTTCGCTGTTGGGAACGCCTTCAGGTGGGCAGCCCTCTCCTGTTAAGGTCAAGCAGCTGGACGCACCGCAGAAGACGACTTCAGTTTCCTTCCCTGGTGACAAGGGCAAAGGAGGGCCAGCTGGATCTACAACCAGTTCAACGCCTTGCCGGTATTTCCGCTCTGATGCGGGTTGTAAAGCTGGAAAAAGCTGCAAATGGTCTCATTCCTGGGAGGGCATCGAGGACAAACATACCCGTTGCTGGATATGTGGCGGTAAGGACCACAGAAAGACGGAGTGCAAGTTGAAAGCACAGATCAAGTCCTCGCCAATCAAGGCAAGCAAGGGCGCTGGTGAGCCGGGTCCCGGCTCAGGGGGAGGGAAGTCTCAATCCTCTTCCAATGGGACCTCCAATGCCGGATTGCAGTCAAGTGGCACCACGTCACAAGGGGCCGCAACCGCAAAGCTGCAGGAGATGGAGGTTCAGCAGGACGGCAATAGCGCCACTGGTCCGGGCGATGGTCAATCGGGGGAGACAACAATGGTGAAAGGGGGTGCGGACACAGGGGCAACAACCAGTGAAGCATTGCTCCATGAAGCCACACAACTCCTCAAGTCCCTACGTGCTCCTCAATTGCGTGTGATAAAGGTGAGTCAGCTTGACTATGACACCAGCGGGTCTGCAGTGCTTTTGGACTCGGGTGCAACTCATGCACTTCGCCCAGCAGTCGACCTATGTGAATGGGAGGCTGCACAACCTACACAAGTCACCCTGGCTGAAGGAGTTTCCAACAAGCTCCGTTTGAAGCAGGACTCAAAAGTGCTTCTCTCTGCTCCGCATGACACAGAGCTGGACAAGTCATGGATTGTTCCCTTGGGCGGCATTGCGGAGCTGGGCTATCGTTTTGAGTGGAAGGGTTCCTATTGTTTGTTGAAAGATGATCGTGGCAACAAGTTGGAGGTGACAATACAACACGGTTGCCCTATGGTCAACAAGGAGCTGGGACGGCAGATGATTGATCGGCTGGAGCGACGTCAGGTGCATTTGGCACAGAAGGCCTTGCTCATCAAGACATTGTTTGCGCAGCCGTCAATGGTCCCTATGGCTCCACCTTTGTCAACAGAAATGGCTCTTACACTCAAGCTGAAACATCTGTTTCAGGATGTGCCGGACGACCTTTTGATGAAAGTGATCCCAGATCTCTCGGATCTCCAACAGGTAGCGGATGGGTCATTGCTCCCTTGGAACCGGCGGAAAAGAAGACGCCTTGCCCAGGCGAAGCAAATCGTCATCCACCTGTTTTCTGGCCCTGATGCCAGATACTGGGAGAAAGCCCTTCAACAGAATGGAGTAGAAGTCCTTTGTGTGGATCTACAAGCAGCAGTTGCAGCCGACTTGCATGATGACAACGTCTATCGGTTTTTGCTGGCTCTCGCTGCAACAGGCCGTGTCAAGGCCATTGTGGGCGGACCGCCCTGTCGCACTGTGTCGGCTTTGCGGTATCAAGATGATGATGGACCAGGCATCCTGCGGTCAGAAGAGCATCCCTATGGCCTCCCCTCCATCTCACTGGCAGAGCAGGCAATGGTTTGGGGTGATAGCATCCTCTTGTTCAGAATGTTGGCATTGTACGTGCTGTGCGAGGATGTTCGCCATGATCATGAGCCACAGACAGCTTTAGCATTGGAGCAGCCTGAAGATCCTGCCCGCTACAGACCTCGTGCAGAAGTCGAGAAGAAAAAGTTCATGTCCATCTGGAGGACAAAAGCTTGGCAGGTCTTTGCCAACACCTACCAGATCCGGATGCTGCATTTCGATCAAGGCCCTATGGGTCATGTGCGAAAGAAACCTACAACCCTGGCGGTCAAGCTCCGAGACATTCAGGCCTTGGATGAAATCCGCGGTCCTCCATGTGGTGGCGAAGAAAGTGACCAAGATCGACGTGGCATGCCCCTGCAAGACCGATGTGATCAGTCCAAACAATGGGCAGCATGGGCCCCTGGGCTTAAGGTGGCTTTGGTGTTGGCTCTTCAAGACCACCTCAAGCGGGGATGTGCACCATCGTTGGAAGCAGCTCTCCGTCCTTTGGGTCAAGTGGCTTTGGAAAGCTGGAGACAACATTACATCCAGGACCACATGCCGGCCCGAAGGGATTGCAAAGAATGTGTCAAAGCTGCTGCAAGGAGCAAACCGCACAGGCGGATAACACACTCAGAAGCATATACTTTGAGTGTGGATCTGTCGGGACGCATGGTGATTGGCCAAGATCAAAGCCGCCACGACTGCAAATACATGATGGTCGCTGTGTACACCTTCCCCATTGATGGCGCAGGGAAGTCCTTGGTGGAAAAAGTGGAAGCGGGGGCGGATGCAGGTATGCCTTCGTTGGACCTCGACGAGTACACTCCCACGGAACCAGGGGGTGATGATCCTGGTGAGGATTTTCTTCCGGAGGAGGTGGACGAGATCCCGGGGGAGGACAGAGCTGAAGCACCATCACAGGCGATGGCGGAGGCTGCGATTCGGGCCGGTCACACGGCTTTTGATGCTTGGCAAAAGGAGGTGGCTTCCGTCCAAGATGTGGCTGTCCGAAATCTGACCTTTGTGGAAGTTCTTCCAAGCAGGGGTGTTCAGCACATCCTCCGAGCATTGGCCAGGATCTATGCTCGTCTTCGGAGTCTGGGCTTGCCTTTGTACAGGCTCCACTGTGACCGCGCCAGAGAGCTGATTTCGGCACCGGTTCGTCGTTGGACTTTGGACAGAAGCATCGTAACCACTTTGACCTCAGGGGATTCCTACAAGTCCAACGGCCGGGTCGAAGGAGAATTGGGAGTGATCAAAAAACATGTTCGCACCATCATGACCTCCACAGGCTTGGATCTCACTCAGTGGCCACTGGCTGCCATCCATATCGGTGAACGCCGACTCAGGGGGCAACTCAGGAGTCTTGGAGTCCCGGTTGGGCCTTTGTTGACATTTGGGGCCAAGGCCTATGCTTTGAAAAAGTCTTGGCAAGATCGTTATCAGCCCTGGAGGGAGATCAGAGATGAGGTGCGGGTGCTTGGACCGGCTTTGCAGAGTTCCTTCACTTCCACAAGCTACTATGTGCAGTCCACTGAAACTCAAAGGTACTTCTACACGGATGATGTGGTGGTGCCAAGTGCTGACCAGCCTGAGGCTGCTGATGATCATGTGTACTTGCCTCTCCAACAAGAACTTTCTGGCCAAGCGGCTTGGGAAGGTGACATTCCTCGCCGCCGTTTGCGTGAAAAAACTGCAATCCCACAATTGTCCAAGCTGGGCATGGAGGGGGAGCCTTGTGCCTACGTCCAGAAGTGGCTGTGTCAACACCGTGATGCTTTTGATGCTCATGGCCCGAATGATGAGAAGTTGTTCACAACCGAATGGAGCAGCGACAGCTGGACCATCGAAACACCCTCAAGAACATCCTCAACATCCTCAAGTGCTGGTGGGAAGGGCCCCCCGGGCGGAGAGTTGGGTTTGTTGGGGGTGGACAGCCTTGGAGGAGGGGATTGGGAGGAGGCGCCAAACAACTGGGCTGGTGGCTCATACCCAGTGGCCTCAATGCAAAAGATCAGGCCCGGGGGAGTTCCGATCACCAAGCTGCAGCTTCTTCGCTCTGCGCAAGCGAACTTGGCGGAGTATGTGAACGAGGAGATCGGGCATGGGGACGTCACCAATGGTGAGCAGGGCTGGTATAGTGGGGTGCTAGGCCAGGCCGTGTTGCACAAGGTGGAGGCTGAAGAACAACTCCTACAAAACCATCAAGATCAGGTGCAAGCATGTAACAAAGAGATGGAGGAGGAGTTCTTGGTCACGAAAACTGTGAGCACCAAGGAGGTGATGGACGATTTTGAGAATTGGGTTCCGGCCATTCAGGCTGAGTACACGCAGCTCGTCCAGACCAAGGAGGCGGTGCAACAGATCACGAAGAAGGCCTTGCAGGCCAAAGCTGAGAACGAAGGCAAGATCATCGAAGTGCTTCCGGCAAAAATGGTCTTCACGAGAAAGGCAGGAGCTGGCGTGAGAAGGGCAAGAGCTGTTTGCTGCGGAAACTACTCAGAAACCCGCTTCAGCGAAGATTGCTACGCTGGAGGGGCTGATGGATGTCAAGTCCGTGCTCTACTCCGCACTGCAGCTTTGAAGTCTTGGTCGGTGGCCGCCACTGACATTCGTGTGGCTTTCCTCAATGCTCCAAGAAGGGAAGATGGAAAACTGGTCGCCATGGAAATTCCGCAGGTGTACAAACGCCTTGGTCTTGCCCGTGAAGGTGAAGTTTGGCTGGTCAAATTGGCGATGTACGGTTTGACCACGTCGCCACGGGATTGGTCTCAATATCGGGACAGGACTCTGCCATCGGTGAGCTGGGTTCGAATGAGGGAGGACAGAAAGGTCCGTGGCCACTTTCTCAAGACCGCCGATGAGAACCTATGGCGCTTGGAGGAGGAGGATGTGGTGTCCGGTGAGAGCTACTGGACTGGTCTCATGTCAGTCTACATAGACGACATCCTGCTTACCGGTGAGGAACATGCTGTATCATCGGCCTTGACCTCATTGCAGGCGATATGGACCACATCAAGTGTGGAGTGGGCATCATCACAAAGCCCGGTCCATTTTTGTGGCTTTGAGATCAAGTTGGATGAAAAAGGAGATGGCCTTCATCTGTCTCAGCAAAAGTATGAGCAGGAGATCCTGACTCGATGGAAAGTGAAGGAGAGTTCAACCTTCCCCAACTTCAAGATTGCGGAGGAGGACTTCGAGGCTCAAGAAGAGACGGACATCAGACAGGTCCGTGAAGCACAGGCCCTAGCAGGATCTCTCCTATGGCTTTCGACAAGGTCAAGACCGGACCTGGCGCTGGGAGTGGCGGTAGTCAGCCGCATGATGACCAGGAATCCCAAGAAGGCGATTGAAGTGGCCCACAAGTTGCTGGCCTATGTGAAGGGCACCCCTGGCGATCTTCACTACGCCGGACAGGTGCATCAGGTTTGGGGGGCTCGTGGCCAACTCAAGATTCCCCGACATGGGAAACTCGTGGAGGTTTTCGCTGACATTGCCTACGGCACTGGGTCAGGGCACCGAAGTACTCAGGGCTTGGCTATCTACTTCGCTGGAGCACCCATTGCCTGGCAGAGCTCTTCGCAGCCCTTCGTGACTCACAGTACAGCTGAAGCTGAATTAGTGTCATACTGTGAGGCCCTGACAGCTGGTCGCGCAACTGAAGCGCTGCTATGTACTATGTGGGGGGAGGAGCTGGTGAACAACAGCACCTTTGACCGGGTCATCTACGGTGACAATGCCGCTGCAATTGCTCTGGCCCATGGTAACAGTGCAGCTTCCTGGAGGACGAGGCATTTGAGGGTGAGGTCTAATTTGCTCCGGGAGGCCCTCGAGAATTGCAGCTCGTACCCTGGAGGAGCGTGGAAGTTGATGCACCTTCGTGGCACTGAGCTGGTGGCTGATGGACTCACAAAGCCGCTCCTGGGTCAAAGTTTTCAGAATTTTCTGTGTGATTTGGGCCTGAGGGTGGAGGAAACTAGTGTGAGGGTGCTTGGGGCGGAACGTCGACCTCCTCAACTACAAGATCAAAATGGGGCTGATCGGCGACATCCTCAAGTACCAGATCAAATGGGGGCACTTCGAGCCTTAGCAGCGGGTAGCGTGCTCGCGCATGTCGCGGAGGCGCAAGGGGATGTGGAGAAGGACTCAACCATCGGGGCCTTGTGGATCTGTGGTTTGATTTTGATCGCCATAGGGGCAATCTGGGTTTGCAAAGCTGTATGTGCTTCGGCATGCTGCTGCTTGCGGCGATTGCAGAAGGTGATCATCGAGCCGGCTGGTTCGCAGAGCCATAGCGAAGGGGATGAGACGGATGCCACTCCGACCCGGCCACAGAGAAGGAGATCGAAGAACCAAAGTTCAGCGGTCATGGATGAAAGCTCTCCTTCGTCCGAAGGTTTGGACGAGTCAGGAACACCTTCTGAAGCTGAGTTGCGCTTGAGAAAAAGGGGATCAAGGGCGCGAAGCGCGGAAGGCTCTATGTCCAGGCCGAGCTCTACGCCATTGACATCAAGGCGACAGTCGGGCTCGGCAAGCAGGTCTTTGTCGCGATCCAAGGAGTCGCAAGCCAGCGCGACAGTGACCGATGCAGTGAACTGTGCGGCTGGTGGAGCGGAAAGGGCGGCGATGAGCGCTGAGATGGCCGCGGCAGCAGCTGGGCGTGCAGCCGTGAGCGCTGAGCGAGCTTCGATGCTCTTGCACCAGGCCTTGACAGGCCCTGTGACAAAACAGTCACCTTCGAGGCACAGTGGAGTGCCCATGAATCCATGGAATCGGTTTCAGCAGGAAAACGCTGGCCGAGGATGGACAAAGGACAAAATGCGTGCAGAGTATTTTCGGGCAAAGTGCCACAATACCCTGCCTTGAGCCACGGCATTTTGCCAAGAAGCTCTCCACGCAGTTTCGCTTCCGCGAAAGGGGGAGTCTGACGGTGAGACCACCGCGCACAGGCATTTTTTGTCCAAGAAGAAAAGGTGTGAGGTTTTTGTCGAGACTGTAAAACATTTTGTAGTAGTTTTCGAACATATAAAAAATATATATATATATATTATATTTATATATTTATATATTTATGTATTTCCCTGATGCCATACAGCAAGGAGTGCCCCAGGTCATCTCACTAAAGGTTCACTTCATCTCACTGCAAACAGGTCGCACGTCGAGCAGCGGCTGCAAAGCGGGGACCACCAGCTGCCCGCGGGGACATTCATGGACATCCTCTCAAGAGCTCACAGCATGTGAACATCACACTGTGTTCCAGAATGTAGGCGACAGAAGGCGTCAGGAACAGGCTATCCTATGATGAACTGAATTACATGTCATGAATGCTCTTTTTTAATAATCATATAATCACAGCTACAGAACTAGACCCGTTGCACCGCCCGGGGCATTTCCACTCAAGCCTTTCAGATTGCTAGTGCTGCGTGGCAAGGCCATGGGAATGGTTATCAACCAGATGCAGCACAAAATCAATCAAAACCGTCCCCCTGCTCCCCTCCAAGCCTTTGTTTGATTTCGACGCTTTGCACACTCTTTGGTGAATTCCCGCCGCATAGCTGTGGCAAGTTGTTTGCCTGGCAGGGTCAAGCACGTTGTCCACAAATGGGCCTAAGCGATGAGTCAAAATGTGCAATCAAAGTTTGCGGCAGTCGGCTTAGCTGGCCACAGACAACAAAATGATGCACCACAACCGTGAGTTAGCTTCATAAAGAAGATCATATGTGTATGTGTTAACACGTAGATAGGTAGTAAATGGTATTAATAAGTAGCGTGTCCAATGTACTGTATTGATATTGATAATGTAGAACTGCTGCATTGCCATTGCGATTGGCAGCTTTCAGCTTGGGCTTTTTGAATTTCAGCATTCTGAAGACATCGGAATGGCAAAATGCTTCGTGCAGCAAAATCATGCCCAGTTTGAGAGCAACCCGCTTTAAAGCTATTATGGCGTCAACTCAGGTGGAGGTTGTTGCTTGGGCTGGGTGATCTTCTTCATTGTCCTTGGCACAAGTGACCCTCGCCTGAATGCGACCTCAGTCCTAACTGCGCAAGGGATTCGGATACGCAATCCCAAGGGTCAATAGAGCGCCCATGGAACAATTGGTCGATAGGATTCGGTAGGTGCTCCGAGCGGTGCTCCTGATTGGCTGGCTCTTGGATTGGTTGATCCTAGCGGCTCAGTCGAAATGGCCGACATTTGCCTGCTGAGGTGAAATATGTGAACGAGAGGCAGCAGGTAGTGTACATCGCCAACGGTCGGAAAACAGTGGAGCAAGGACCATTCACCAAGATTATTTGGCCATCTACACAGTCACCTGGCTATATATATAGTTGGAAAATGTTGGATACAGTTTTTACACAGCTCGTCGTTGTGAGCGTGAAAGGGCTTCTCACACAATCCATGGCACCGTACGATGCTGTATGCCACACATGTGTTCATGTCACTGAAGATGTTCGAAGGAGAAGTTCGAAAGGCACTGCATACGCCCCTTCGACTTTGACTGCCATCGCCTGTGTGCTGAGGTACGAGGTCCGGGAAGCGATCTTAGTGACCCAACGAGAGTACGCGGTGCTGAAGCATGAGCTGACCCAAGAAGAGAGCCATGAACCTGGACCTGGCATGGTCGGGTGGACTCAGAGTGTAACTATGTTGCGCAGGGGAAATGCGCAGCTTTTGGGAGCAAATTCTTAAAGCCCAATTCGAAATTGAGAGTTGTTTTCTACATTTATTTCTGTATTTGCATGTGTACTTGTTGTTGTTTGCGGAGAATGCTTATGTTTCTTATTTGAGTTGTTTTTGCACGGATGGCTAGATGCTGACATATCGAGACCTAGATGTTACCAGCACCTGCATCCCGATTGTTCAGACTAGTTGCTGCTATTTAGATCATTAGCTGCAGCCACATAGGAGTGTTTTGAGAATCATGGGGACACATGTTGTCTACTTTACGTTTTCTGCCCAACCCACTGAAGTCCAACATACAAAAGTTAACTCGAGATAATCATGGGGCAAGCTGACACGTTTCCACCATATCCCTTGCCTTAAGAAAATTTAAGGGCTGCCGCCCCTGCCGCCGACCCCGGATTCTCAGGTCCGGCTTTTCCTCCACTGGTTGGCATTGCGAGGGTTTTTCGAACAGGGGTTTCAGTCGTCCTTTTAAAGGTTGCTCTTCTGGAATCGTCGTTTCTTTCCGGTGTCGAGGTCGGTGCCTGTGCGGAGCGTTTCATTGCCTGCTCTCTGGATTGTGAGTTGACTCAGTTTACTCTCCTTGTCCACAGAAGACCGACTGAAACAAGTCACTAGCAACTCTGTAAAGATGACCGACAATTTGCTAGCATTTTCCACCACTAACCAGCCTCCCAAAAAGCATCTGAAACCACCCCTTCGCCACGGCTTTAACCCATTGAGTTCTGCTCCAAACGAGCCCCAATTCCTCGGACGTTCGGTGTCAAACGGACGCTCTGGATCCCTAGAGAAAAGACAATTTGCTAGCATTTTCCACCACTAACCAGCCTCCCAAAAAAGCATCTGAAACCACCCCTTC